CCGGAAGCGGAGCGGGAAGACGGCGCCTCCTGCCCGCCCAGGACTACAACTCCCGGCAGCCCCCGCGCGCACAGCCGCTGGGAAGTGCCGAGGCGGGAGCGTTCCCGCCGGGAACTACAGCACCCATAATGCTCTGGCGCGGCGCGCGTGCGCACTTCGTCTCTGTCCCTCCACACTAGAGGGTGTTTGAATAAGAAACACGTCAGAGGGGCCTCTTTTCAAGTGAATTATCTTTAATTTGGGGCGGGTGTGAGACTCTCGGACGGACAAGCGGGAATAACTGTGGTTTAGCGCAAGTTCCCTGCGTAGGGGTTCAAAGGAGCAGTGCTGGGGAAGTCTCTGTCACTGTTGCCGTTGGAGTCAGCCGTTAGCAGCTTGCGCGACCGTTATGGGCGGCCAAACGGCGCCTGGCGACACCCCTGAGCGGGTATGGCCCTGCTGCCCTGAGGAGGGGAAAGGGGAACGCGTGGGCACCGAACATGAGCGTCGTCTTCTTCCCAGCCTCTCCTCCTTTCGAGACTACCTTAGATTTAAACCCCAGCAATTAAGCACATTTAGCGACCTCACTGAAGTAAATTYGGGAGATTTTATTCTGCAGAAATCAGTAGTGAAGAAACTCCACACAGCTAGAAACAGTCTGACCAAAAAAAAAAAAAAAAAACCACACACACAGAAGTCATATTTTACCCACTTCTAAAAATGATTCCATATATAATAACTATTTTGTTAAGAAAAGGAATGGATGTACAGAGATATTATCAAGTGACACTAGTTTTTATGTAGACATACAGCGCCATTGCCCAGGACATTCAAATGCCCTAAACACAGAAGAACACATTCTCCAACTCCCTTTCRCCATCAAACTCTTCCAATGTTAAGTACCCATGACCAGAATCTACTGAAAATACTCAACCAAGTCTGGAATCGCAGTTAATAAAAAATTCCATTGCCAATGGAAAAAAATAATAATAATAAATTAGAGGAAAAATAAAAAATAGCTCTTAAAGTGGCTGAAAATTTATYTGATACATGAAGCAGTAGGTTTTACTACCATATCAGCAGTTAGAGTGGAAGAAAGAAATATCCTGTCATTGTATAAAATTATATAGGTCCTATCTAGGCTCTTGTATTCTTTCCCCAGCAGCAGCTACAGAAGATTCAAGAGTCTGGCTATTTTCTATTGTCTCTTCYCCTTGCTGTCTGCCAGCGCACACAGTTATGATAGAGACACAAGACAAATTTTTAAGCAAAGATCTTAAAAACATGATAGTCCATGTTCAGCAGCTACCATATGATTGCATGGAGCAAAATAGTCTTCAGTATTATGTATATGTTATTATTTTTATGGAAAGATCAGATAGGCTTTGAACCATCCAGATTTAGATTAAGATTAAGCCAGCATGTAGTAGATGAGTGAAATTACCTCACAAAATAATTGTTCATAATTAATAGCCAGGTCCTGCAAAGACTGGAAATAAAAGTATTCAGCTCCATRCAAGAATTGACCCTAAGTCTTATAGGCAACCCCTAGGTTTCCTTTCACTCTACTTTTGACACTCCGGGTTTGTCTGTGGATGGATCTAATTCTTCTAAATCTGAGAATTCATGCTGTATAACTGGCTTCAATATTTTCTCAATTTGTGTAAGTCTTTTTTTCAGTTTCTGTTGTGAAGCATCATACTCGGCCAACAGCCTGGCAAACTTTGTTTGTAGTCTGTCCATTGATCCTTCCATGAAAGTGATCTTCTCTTCTATATCTTTAGGATCACTTCCTAAATTTGCAGCTTCAATGTCCAGCAATCCATCTTTCATCAAGATCTGCTTTCCTTTCTCTTCCAGCATAGCCTTTGCATCTGGATACTCTGTTAAAGCCTCCATGAGGTCATCTTTAGATAAACAAAACAAGTCRGAGTAACCAATACTTCTAATATTGGCTGTTCTTCGGTTGCCAGCTTTGCTACCTTTGATATTAAGAATGCTAATCTCTCCAAAGTAGCTGCCGTCACTTAAGACCACAAATTGTGTGACTCCATCATCAGCCACCACTGCAAGTTTGCCTTCTTTGATAATGTACATCTCTCGGCCAATATCCCCCTTTCGGCAAATATAATCTCCAGGACTGTATACTTGTGGCTGGAGTTTCAGGACTAGTTCAACCAACAGCCCAGCTTCACAGTCTGCAAAAATCCGAACTTTTTTCAGTGTTTCCAGGTGAACATTGATTGCAATCTCTGCTCGTAGCTTATCTGGGAGATACTTCAAGACTTCCCTTTCATCCACTGCCTTTTTATTTGTCCACAAATAGTCAAACCACTTTATGACTCTYTTCTCCATGTCTTTGCTTACGTTCCGAAAGTGCATGTACTGCTTGATGGCATCAATCCGTGCTTGAAACTCTGCTCGGGCAGCATTCATATTGGAGATCATAGAGCCCACGTTACCAACAATGGTCGCGAAAATCAATACTCCAACCAAGAAGTCAACAACCACAAAGAAATACTCGGAATCCCTTACAGGAGGGGGCGTTTCCCCAATAGTAGTCAGGGTCAGTGTTGACCAGTAGAGACTATAGACGTACTTTCTAGTCAGACGGGCAAATTCGGGATGGGATGTGTTGGGGTAGACCCATGTRTCAGCCCCAAATCCAATAGCTTTGGAGATCGAGTAGTACACACAGGCATTCCAGTGAATGATGATCACGATGTACATGACGAGGTTAGAGATCCTGAAGATATTTGGGTAGTTTGTCCTTGTTTCTGTTCGCTGGAAGAATTCAAACATACGAGCTACTCTGAGTAATCTGTTTATTCTTAATTCTGGGTAGTTCAGTCCTAACTTAAAGTATAGGAGATCAGTTGGTATGATGGACAAAAAATCTAATTTGAATTGAAAAGATGTCTTGTATTTTTCTCTAAGCTTTTCTTCTTCTTTCACCAGAAGACCTTGCTCCAGGTAACCTAAAATCAAATTTTAAAATATTAAAAAGTGTTTTGACTTCAGCTTTCACTGCATTCTCTTTAATGCCAGTCAGTGTTTGGTTGAAGGTTATAGTTGTTCCTTTTTTTTTTTTAATGTATATAAACAACTGCTTACTTCCAAATATTCTACTTAGAACTATATGGTTCAGCTCCAGCTAAACTGTAGTGCTTTTAAAATTACACATTTCTAGGTATCCACATTTCTAGTGGAGGCTTTCCCTCCACTGTTGTACTACCTGGTGAACACCTAGGCTGGGAATGAGGGAACTTTGCAGACTACAGAAGGGTGGATAAAACAAGGGTGAAGAGTGTAAGCACGAGAGTTTCAGTCCCATATTAAGTGTAGTTATTCAATACCTCTGGATATAAGTTTTTAAAAGAAATAGTTGCCACTGACCCGATGGGATGTCCTAATTTCTCAACAGTTCTGAAAATCATGCAACTATTTGAAAAACCTTAAATACAGAGTCCTCACCTGCCTYGTTTCCCATGTTGTGGGTTGGTTTTACCTTGCACACAGTTCCAGGCAGAAGAGCTTGTATCCAGCTTATTCACACCACGGGCTTTGCGTATTCCCTCAGTAAGGTGTTCATGAGGGATTTTTTGTGTGTTTTTAGAAGTCACAGGTCTACTAATCTTTTATAGGTCTTTTACAGTTCTATTTCATGTCCTTTTTCACTCTTGTTCCCTATCCAGAGTACCCAACTGGTAAAAATAATGCTCTTCTGAATATTTTATACTCCSTAACACAAATATCTGAATAAGAATCTTTAATCATTTGGTATACGTACCCGTTCTGGTCCGTACAAACATGTCAGCAACATAGATGACATCAGAAACATAGTCGGCAATGAACCAAATTGCTAAGTAGTCATTCTGAAGTTCTTCAAAACAGGCTCTGAACAGGAGAAGAAAAAAAGTAAATTGTCATGAAATGGAGATGAAATACTTGTGTGAGATAATCGTTGAATAAATACTTAGGGATATTATAATTTGTCATTTTTTTAATATACTGGTTGAAGGATCTCTGTCATATCAGCCAAAATGTAGTCATTTTACAGTTCTTCTGCAGACCTTGTTTACCTATCTACTTCTAGGAAATGTTTATGATTTGGACTACATAATATTTTCAAGTATTCAAAACAGGAAAATGTCTTGTATAATTGTATGGACAACAAACACTTATGCCAACTGGGATTGCCAGATGGGAATGTTGCCTAATAATTTCTTATGAGACCAAGAATTTATGTTATTTATTAAACATTCCCAGTCTTTGGTTAATAGCTATGCTTTCTATTCATTGAAATCATAAAAATGGAAAAAATGAAGTATCGGTTTCTGTGAATATGCAGAAATCCAGCTGGCAAGAATGGTAGGGATTTTCAAGATGCATGGGACTTCTGGTTTATTTATTTTATCTGCTCTATTTTTATCCACTYAGTCTGATAACCAGGAAGCTTTTAATATGGGAAAGTACAGCACTGTAATTACTTCACGAGAAATAAGAGAGTACATTATTATTAACATCACCTAGCAATAATCATGGTCCAGTTGTACATGACAGGCATTGTGATGCAGAACAACCAATGGTAATACATATTTCCTGCTGGATCAATAATGAAAATTTCTTTCTTCTTCCTGAGTGATAGTCATGAAAAAAAAAAAGATTTAAGATTTAAACTAAAATATTCATAACTATTTTTAACAATAACTGCTACTGTTAAAAAAAAAAGTTATTCAAGTTACACTTTCCTGCTTGAACTGCTTGAATACATGGAGAGCATGAAACTAATTATTAGGTAAAACTATAGTCTTAAACTTCAGAGTCTAGATTTTGCTACGGAAAGACATTTTGGCACGTCAGTACTTTAAAAATAATTTGTTTCCTTCCTTAGTGGTCTTGTCTGATAATTGATTTGATCATCTTTCCAAACCAGAATGATTATGTGAATATCAGTGTTAACTGAGACACAAGGTRCCTTCCTTGTGTCTAAGGCAAAAGTCTAAGACTGAAAAAGAAAGAAACACTGGCATTGTTGAAATAGAGAAACCAATAGACAAACCAAAGAACAGACAGATAAACAACACTGCTCCTCACTACATGATTTTAAGTTTCTCTTTCTGGTCCAGAAAACTATGAAATTAACAAGTGAAATGCAAAGGGCAGAGCAAGAACTTTTAGCTGCTAGTATGACTTTGCTGGCTTGTAAGTGCCATCATTTATAGAAGAGCCTGTTTTACAGTGGCTGATCTTTTGCTGTAGAGTATTATAAAAAAAAAAAAAGAAGAAGAAGAAAAAAGATCAGCCAACAGTTCCTTCTGTCCATTTATGAACTTTTGTATTCTCTGTTCTTTCATCCCTATTTCTAAATATATGTGTGAAGCCACTGAGGAAGCAGGCAAAAGAGTAAGGGCTGCAGAATTTACACTGTGCTGATAAGGTGTGATAAGGTGATTTTTTTAGGTTATTATATAATGTGACTCCAAATTTTCAAGGATCTCCTTCAGAATATGTTGAATATCTTTTCTYCTTGAGTATTGTTTTCAGATCAGTTCCAAGCATGTGTATTCTCCTTCTAGGGTCATGTGGGTTAAATTAGGACAGCCCTACCTCAGGCAGAACACAGCAGTCAGTCCTCTCATTCACTGGACTATAAGCCTCTTGTCTGCAGGATGTCCGTGAGTGAATTCAGTTTTACATCAAAAGCATTCTTTACTAGACTCAACATAGTAGGATCGAAATGAAAAATACTCACTCCTCTTTCTTTTCTTTGTTCTTGGATTTATCTTTGTTTTTCTTTTTCTCCTTGTTCTTTTGTTCTCCATCTTTTTCCTTCTTTTTTTCTGACTTGCTAGGAATAGATTTATATTTTCCATCATTACAGAAGAAGTTAGAACATATTTGGAA